CTCCGTGGTTCTATACTCGGTAATACCCTCTAGATTTACTACCCAGATTAAAGGGAGAGAAACTAGGTCTTTTAATCGTCCCTTGCCGCCTATAACTTCCACCTAAGCGTAATTTATATAGAACTCGCGATTTCCTACCTGATTTTGCTAGCTCTATACGAGTAAAGCATTTCCGTTTGGAAGTGAAACCGGAATCTTGTATAAGTAGCTCAAATTAAGAGGACATCCACTAATAATACTCTTAATGACATAAAAAGAAGTTCTATTATCGTACGAAAGTGACACTTAGTAGGATCTACCGCTATAGGTCGTAGTGCCCTATAGAGTTATGTTATAGACGACTCTAGTAGTTAACGAAGTAGTTGGACTCTAAGAAGAATTCCGGTAGTATCCTTTATATAGAAAGTCCATTCTATTAGGGTTTAGTAGCGAAGTTATGTTATAGTGTCTTTAGTTCTCTTCGAGCATAGGGTTCAAGCGACTATACATTAGATAAGGCCAACTCATCTCGACATAACCGCGCACTATTACCCCAAAAAGCTGTAGAAGCTAGATATACATTATAATATGAAGCTGCTTTATATCGAGGGATACGAGCGAGAATTTATAACTTCGGTCTTATATACCACGATATTTCTTGGGCTATATAACATATAATAGCCTAGAGCGGCACTTCTAGGCTGGTTTAGCCAAGCGAAAGCGTCCGAAACATCTACTAACTACGCCAATCTCTCAAATTAGCTCGATAGCGAGGTACATTTATAGCTATCGCTTCATGTCTTCTTAGTAAAGACCTCTCTCTTCCTTTCCTACTATAAAGTTCCTAGTATTGCCGCTCTGTCTTAGTTGCTTGTTTGTTTCGTACACAAGTACTAGCTAGGGAGTTAAACACGGCATTAAGATATGTTCGAACATAGCGGACCGATTGCCTTGTGTTATTATTAGAATACCGCTTAATAGTCTAGCAGCAAATCTAGCTGGCCTTATAGACAGCAAAACTGTTACAGCACACTCTATAGGGGTTAAGGATACGCACTTATGCAACGTATTAATAAACGACAGTGCGCTCGAGAAGCTAGTTACTTAGTTTGATTTAGCAAGACCCTTAATCCTACCGATAGGTAAATATAAGCCTAACACGCTCTATCTAAACTACTCTACCGGCGACGCAAGTAGTCGATTTTAGACGGGGGTACAACTTCAAATAATAGCTTTGCGATAACCGGCTAACTAAAGTAGGAATGTTAGATAGAGGAGGGAATAGGATACTACCGCTTGCCGTAGGAGAGTATAGGGATCACCGCTCACCCGTGTTAATAGAGAAGCTGCTACGAAGGTAGCCCTTATATAGTAGACCTAGCGTAGATACCTCGCTATCTAACGAGCTACAGTCTAGGAATTGTTATAACGCCGGTCGAGGATGCTTGAATTTTGTCGCGTTTAATGCTTATAAGACAGCTGGCTATTAACTAGCGGAAGGGTACTTAATAGTTTTTTGGAATGTAGCTCTTAGTTTCTCCACGATATCGTCGTAGTTAATGTCGCCCGCCTTAATAGCTGGACGTGTAATTAGGTCCCTTCTAAGTTTGTGTTACCTCTCGAAATTAGCTATAGTAGCGTCTTATTAGATTATAGATCGGAATAATTACCTTATAGAATGCATTAGAACGATTAACTTAGATTTATTATTAGAAAGTTCAGCTTAGATAGACTCGCCTAAAGCTATCCGGAGAAGGTTACGTAAGCAGGTCGTGTAAACAAGGGCATCTATCTCGGCGAGATAGATCCTATCCTATAGTTAACTAGTACAATTATACCGTGGGTTAGTTCTAACACGTCGTTTATTATTCGACACCGCGTGTTCTCTAGCCGTCTTCCGCTACGCTAACGACCTATATCGATTCGTTGTCCGCGTCCTAAGCGCGACATTTATTATTGTTTATTAGGTGCTACTATAAGAGCTATAAGCATAGGGAAGGAATTATTACACTCTATACCTAATATCCATCCTATCGTCGCGAGCTACCTAGTATAGCGAGCCGCGAATAAGATTTTCCGCTAAAGCTCTACGCTATACAAGTATATAGAGACAAGCGATACTCGGTACTAATCTTTAGTAGTCTCGCTACCTCTAGGCCACATTATAACTAGAAAGACGGAGTACTAATTAACCTATCGTTTTTAGGTAGAGCACCGTAGATTAGCCTTCTACGTCTTACCCCTACTTACTCGCGTCTATAGTACTAATTTGCATCCTCGGCGGGTCTGTATTAAAGAGCTTTTTAAGAAAAGTTATCCTATAATTATAAAGTCTGTTTAAGTATGTCGTCGTAGTTCCCGAGAGACTCCGTTCGGTAGAGGCATCTAAGTCTATCCGAAATTTTAGCGCGAGCTTATATTACGCAATAATAAGCCTCTACTATCTCTTATACTACTCTATATTCGGAAGCCTTAAATATAACCTTAGACATAAGTCGCTACATTTTTACCGATACTTCTATAGACAAGTATCTACCGAACTATTGTTTAAGTTCTATTAATAGATATTTTTATAGTTTCTATAGGTCCCCGCACGCTATCTTATGCTTCTTCTCTTAGCCGACGTCTTACTCCAACTATACTACGCTAGTAAGGTAAAATAGATAGAGCTACTAAGGCACTAACCGAGGGTACCTATAATAACGGGGGCCTATCTTTCCGTGCTCGATCTATTAGTACTAACGTCCCTCGTACTACCCTATAGTATCGTATACGCGGACGCCGCTTAATAAAAGAAAAGGCCGCGAGCTAATAATACCTCGACCCGTAGGAGGAGATAGCCCTTATTAAGTTCCTTATATATTAAGATGCTCTTAGTCGTCCTATCCGGATAAAGTATATAGGCTTAATAGCATTTAGCCTTACGCGTAGGCGGTAGCCTATACGACGGCCGAGCAAGCCTCTAAGCAAAAATTGGCCTTAGCTATTCTATAGACGCTAGTCGGAACTTAAAGCGAGGACTACTAGGGCGCTTAATTGGAATAGGTTTAATATTTATAATAAGGTCGTATAGTAGTTCGACGTAATCGTAAAGGTCCTATATAACCCGGTAATCCTTTAGGAGAATGTGTATAATATAGACGAAACTAGCGTTATGCTCTATAAGCTAAACTCGGTTAAGGTCCTTATCGGTAAGGATAATTAGCATAGCTATAGGGGTACGCGTGTAAAACGGACTACAATTACTATAATTAAGTGTGTAAGTAGCGACGGTAGGTATCTTAATCCGATAATTATCTAGCTAGCTACGACTTATCGGTCTAATTAGACTACTTATCCTATACCGGGATGGAACTATACATTTTCTAATAGCGGATACACCGACGTATACCTTAGCTTATAGTAGCYTAAGCTTGTATTTAACCCCCAAACTAAGGAACGCGTAAAGTAGAAGCCGCGGGTCTTAATTTGCGATGGCTTTATAACGTACGAAACGCTCGAAGTGTTAGAATTCTGTTTCGAAAACAATATTATACTATGCCGCCTTCTATCTTACACGTCCTATAAGCTCTAGCCCTATAATATCTCGATATTCGGTCCGTTAAAATTAGCCTACCGCGATTAGGTAGAGCGCCTAGAGCGTAGGGGAGTAGGAGCGATCGGAAAAGAGCATTTTACTAGCTTATATAGCCCCGCGAGGGAATGCGCGCTAACGTCGAGAAATATCCGCGCTAGGTAGAGCAAGGCTAGCCTATTCCCGTTTAATCTAAATAAGGTGCTCTAAGATATACCGTAGCCTATAGTTTATACAACTTTATAAAGAATAGATAAGGCTTAGGCGGATGTTTAGGACATTATCCCGTAGACTCCGGTAACGCTAGTAATATTAGAAGCTGTCGCTTCCCTACGCAATTTAATTAAGCAGGACGCTCACCTATAAGACGATACGAGTAGACCGCGCTTATAAAAGTGCGTATAGAAACTTACTAATGCTACGCAACAGTCGTTTACGGAACGTGACCTCCTCTATAAACAAAATATCTTTATAAATCGAATTAATAACGAAGCCAAAGTTCGTCGATTAACCAAATCCGAGATCATAGGAACGGCGAGGGTGATGAGCTTCGAAGACTTAGAAAGAGCACGGACGGCACGCAAAGTGAAAGATGCTGAGACAGCGGCGAAGAAAGCCCGAAATACCGCACGAAAGAGTGCTCGAAGCACTATTGATACGGCTCAAGCTGGCCCAAGCGAAGGAAGCCGTGTTATGTTACAAGACGTGCCAGCACTAGAGTCAAATATTGCGGGAGAAATGTAGGTGTCGTGCAGAAGCGACGGACAGACTGCTAGTGAGCAAGATAGCGGTGTTGTAGACTCTGCAGCCGCGACTGCGTGGCTGGTTAACACCCAGATGGAAGGAGRCCAAACACTGCTAGAACCGTACAAGGCGCCCGTGGCACGAATGTGGTAGCGACGTATCAAGAAACTTCTTTCTGTATGTGTGATTGAAAACGAGTTGTAATTGTTAGCCGAATCGCGCATGTACTTAGTTATGGTCATGCTTCTGCTGTTGTAATTTACTGAGAATGGTTCTACGGTTTGTTTGTTCAATGGATTTCGGGTTTCAACCTGAGGCTTACCGCCTATCCTCTGATCAGCAATCGACACGGTGACTTGCTGGATTAAAGTTTGCTCCCGAACCCGGAGCAGCAGCCTTGTCTTCTCCGTGAGCGGGCGCGTCCGCTTGCGGCGTTGTGCGAGTGAGGCAGATGTGACTCTAGAGTCAACCAACAATGTCGAAGTACGACGGCATGGACTGAGTGGTAAGAAGCGGCAAGTGATAGATGCTGGCTGGGCCGTGTGGAACAACACGTGACTGATTCCTATCCCATCTTTCGCCGCGGGGCGCATCACGAAACAACATATCATCTCCCGAGCGTCCACATCCACAAATCTTACCGCCAGCGTTGCGAGCGTCGACCTACCTGCGCAAACGGAAGCCGTCACGACTTAACGACAAAATGGATCAGTCTTCCTTTGCCATGACACCTCCTACCGAATTCGAACAAGCCAGCGAGGCGCCTCCAGACGGTGGCTACGGCTGGGTGTGTGTCGGTTCATTGTTCTTTATCAACTTCTCCACATGGGGTGCGGTCGCTGTACGCCCAACTCTCAAGTACTCAGAAGTTTGATCACAGTGCTAACAACTAGATCAAGTCCTTTGGCGTATACCTCTCGCACTACTTGCATACAGAACGCTTCCCGGACGCATCGGCGTTGGAGTACGCCCTTGTTGGCGGCTTTAATTTCGCGTTCGCGATGATTGCGGCGCCCGTTGTCACAAGACTCACCCACCGCTTTGGCAAATTCGCAACAATGGCGGCGGGCATCGCGCTACAAATCAGCGGCTACATTTCGGCCGGCTTTGTGAATCGTATCTGGCAGCTCATGGTCACTCAGGGAGTCCTCGTCGGCCTTGGTATTAGCTTCATCTACGTCCCTAGCCTGCCTATTCTCTCTCAATGGTTCGAAGCTCGACGGAGCCTAGCAAACGGAATTGCCAGTGCCGGTTCTGGATTCGGGGGAGCACTGTTCGCCTGGACRACCCAGGCAATCATCGATGCTTTCGAACTTCAATGGGCTCTATGCGCCACAGGGTTGGTCACATTCTTCCTTTCTGTAATTGCGACAAGCCTACTCCGCGATCGCAACAAGTACATACTGCCTCCACAGCTAGCTTTCGACACGTCGTTGCWCAGGAGGTACGAGGTTCGACTTCTACTTGCGTGGTCCTTCGTGAGCATGCTAGGATACATTACGCTTCTATTTTCGCTGTCCGACTTTGYGCTTTCAATTGGGATCTCACCGCAGCGGGCTACTAATATCATTGGCTTCCTCAATGTTGGTACCGCAGTTGGACGTCCAATTATCGGTATCGCGAGCGACAAATCTGACCGCATCGATGTCGCATGTGCTTTAACACTCATTTGCGGTTTATTGTGCTTTGCATTCTGRGTACCCGCTCAGTCTTACGGACTATTGGTATTCTTTTCGCTTCTTGCAGGAGCTACTTTAGGGGTATTTTGGATGGTAAGCCCGACAAATGAAGCGAGCATGTGTCTCTGCAGGCTTCTCCTCGCTTGCTGACTATTGCATTTGTAGACAATAGGTCCCCTCTGCGTCGAAGTCGCAGGTCTCAAAGACCTGCAGTCTCTACTCTCTCTATCATGGACTACCATTATCCTGCCGGCTACGTGTAAGTGAGTCTAAGCTAGTTTGGACAGATTTTCCACTGAATTTTCCAGTCTCTCAGGTCATCGGGCTTAAGATACGACGACCGAATTCCTCGAGACCGTATCTGAACCCACAACTGTTCGTCGGTCTTTCATATCTCTGTGCTGCCTTGATTATGTTTGAGCTGCGCCGCATCAAGCGTAAAGAGTTGACAGCACGAAGATGACGCCGCATGGAATTGCATGGCATTCAGCTTCACATCGGTAGGATAGCAGTCATTGGAACACAAGCTAATACAAGCGAGATTGTCCTATACATGGCGACACATCCAGGAGGGCTTGGCGAGGACGGGAAAAAAGACTTCCACATATCTTAGTCCTTCTCGTTCCCGTCGACGAACTTCGCGTAATCTCCGCCAGCTTCAAACCATCCATTAATGCCCCCCGCTAATACCAAAGATTTCATGACAGTCTCGCCGCGATGTTCCAGCACGTCTTGAAACCAACCAGCTGCTCTGGTACCCCGCCCTCTCGATGATCCTATCCAATAGTTAGAACTATCTTTCACGTTCAGCCCAACGATAGACTCCCTCGATGCCAACATACCACAGTAGAAAGCTACGACGGACACGCCTGCAGCTTTGCAAAGCCCATACAATGACTCCAGACTGTACCATAGCGACTGCGCTGGAAGGTTCAGAGAGCCACGAATGGTGCCGCCCTGGGCAAGATATATTAGCTCTCTGCAAGTATACCAGATCATCCCGAGTCTGAAGGAACCGGTGAATGCATCACGTACCTCGTGATCAGTCCGACGGAGGTCTACAAGTAGGAAATCGCGGCCAGGCAGCTTCTTTTGGTCTTGAAGCAGCCCAAGTAACTGTTCCCGCGACATCGAACCAGCAGTCGACTTTGGGGCGGGGAAGTTGGCGTGCCATGGCCTTTCAGCGTCGGATTGCGCTTTGGAAGTCATTCGTGAGATGCTGCCGAGTGCAGAGAAGATAGTGAAGGAACGTGACTAGAGACAACGAATTTGTAGCACAAATCGCCTAGCTATTTATGAACGCAGCCTGCATAAAGCCTCTATGGTTTGTGGTAAATGCCGGCCAGACGCACCAATGGGCGCCTGGAAGGTGGTCACCGGCCCTCTCTAATGATTGGCAACTGAGCCAGTGAGACAAGAAAAGCGAAGCTTATTGAGTACTCATCCAATGACCACGAGGACGAAGGTCACCCAAACTTTGGTCCTTTCTTCGCCAGGATAAAATGACGACAACTCGGGTGTGGCAATTGAGCTTTAGAAATGATCTGCACATGGCTGGCCAATCATACGCAGGGAGTGACTACCTGCAAATACACAAGATCTATATTGTCCGTAACCAGTGTTCACAATACTCGCATCGTCTTTCTCGATCTCTTGTAGCCACATTACATTCGATTATCTTGACCTCGAGAACGCACGCCATGACTTCTCTACATCCTGACCCCGTTTCCACCAACCTGCAAGAGGCAAAGTTCAAGTCTCCTCTTGATCCCGAGAAAGGGGTTTCGTCGGATTCCAACAATGGCTCTGAAGTCGACCGAGACAGTCGCGCCCAACATGGAGCGAAAGAGTCAGCATACAAGGGTCTCGGATGGTTGAACCGCCTGCTGGCACTCTGGATCCTCCTAGCCATCATTATCGGGATCCTGATAGGGAATTATGTGGACGGCGCTGAAGAAGCTCTGCAAGAAGGAAAATTCGTTCAAGTTTCGGTACCGATTGGTGAGTAGTAACTACCTCACACACACTCAAAGGAAGATGCTAAACAAGGGAACAGCTGTTGGGCTGCTCGTCATGATGTATCCCATCTTATGCAAAGTGCAATACGAGACTCTGCATCTCGTATTCTCGAAGCGCGCGGTGTGGGTGCAGCTAGGCTTCAGCATCCTGATGAATTGGCTCATTGCGCCTTTCTTGATGCTCGCCCTTTCCTGKGCTTTTCTGCCAGATGAACCAGGTCTGCGCGAAGGTCTTATCCTCGTTGGACTGGCGCGTTGTATTGCTATGGTAAGTTATAGGGAGTCAATTGCGCATAATGGCATGCTAAGAAGACGTTCAAGGTTCTTATTTGGACTGGTCTCGCGGGCGCAGACGAAGAGTATTGCGCGATTCTGGTTGCTGTCAACTCGATCCTCCAAATGGTGTTGACGGCGCCATTGGCCATCTTCTTCTTAAGAGTCATCTCAGGGTCAACTACCACCATCCAGATTGAGTACAGCATAGTCGCAACGAGCGTCGGTGTATTTCTGGGGATTCCACTCGGAGCTGCGATTGCCACGCGCTTTGCCATTCGCGCAATCAGCACACGATGGTATCAAGATGTCTTCCTCAAGTGGATTGCGCCTTGGTCGCTCATTGGCCTCTTGTACACCATTCTGGTACTCTTTGCATCGCAGGGTCGCAACGTCGTTCACCAGATTGTGTCGGTCGTCCGCGTTGCCGCACCCCTGATTGTATACTTTTTCGCCATCTTCGCCTTCACGATGGTCGTGACGCACAAGCTTGGCTTCGGATACAAGCTGGCGGCGACCCAGAGCTTTACTGCTGCAAGCAACAATTTCGAGTTGGCAATTGCTGTTGCTGTGGCCACGTATGGTCCCAGCTCCGATCAAGCACTGGCGACTACGGTCGGGCCGCTTGTTGAAGTGCCGGTGCTGCTGGCTTTGGTGTATATAGTTAAATGGGTAGCAAGGCGGAGAGAATGGAAAGATTAAATAAGCCGGTCGGTAGTGCGACAAACAGCGTAGCATTTAATACGTTGTTGTCAAAGCGAGACCGTTTGTAAACAATCCCCAAACATCAATATCCGGAATCAGACCAATTCCAGAGCGCTAGCGTCATAAGCAGCGACTTGCCCAAGCAGAAAATGCACTGCGTCGGTTGGCATCCCACAGAATACGTTTCTCGCAACAGCTTTAATTCAATCGGGAGTTCGATCAGATCTGCCATGCTGTTATATTTACCTCCGCTCTGTGACCTCCTCGCACGGCAAGTTTTCCTTGCTTTTACCTCTTGCCGTTTGCTGAGCGCGGTCAGGGCGTTAGCGGCTTCTACGCGCCGTTCGAATTTTTCGGCAGAGTCCGAGCTTGCAAAAGTGAAGAACGCGGCAACTAATTACAACACGTCTTTCCTTGCCTAACTTGCTATCGACACTCGATACTATTTCGTTTCCGTCCTCCGACTTAAGCGTGCCATCCTATTAGTTCCCGATGTCTATAATTGGCTGCTACTTGTTATATAAGCTTTAAACTACGGCTATTAAGGTCTTGTACACTACCTTCTTCTTGTTCTAGTGCTACCGCTGCGCTTTTCGATACGCCTCGAATATCTCCGTACCTCGGGCTTTCGAAAAGGATCTATACTCCTCGAGGATCCGCTTAACTATAGTCTTTCGTGTCCTAAGAGTAATCTCACTTCGGGGTACCGATCGACCTACGCGAGCTAGCTGTTATCTAGAGCTCGTGGACTACGGGCGTGTAGCCTCGTAGAGTACGTAGCTACGCAGATAATAGAGTTATTAATAGGTAATAGCGGTGTACTTGTCTACTATTACACCGCCGCGTAGGGCCATATTATACCTATTAAGCTCTTCCTTATCCTACGAGGCCGTAATGTCGCCGATGTAGCGAATACTATCGCGGTTAATACACACCGTTAATAAAGCATACTAGCGAATTCCCGAACGTTCGCTCCTCCTCCTCCGACTTCTCGTCGATAGAAACTTACCGTCGCGTATAACGGACAGTACTTTAATAGATAATTAACAGCAAAGTAGTTGCCACGCTAAGAGATAGCAGTTTCGACGTGTTATAGGGTAGGATAATACGCCTAAATACAGTAGGGAAAGAACGCCGAATACTAGAGAAAATACTTCTTTATACCTTTTCTAAGAGGGTAAAAGCTAGTAGACGTTAGTAATAACAGCCTTCGGTATCTCGTATTAGAGAACTCACGTAGGATTACGCTCCGGCTTCTACGTTATACGGTGCTCCTTATGCGGAAGACCTTTAACGCTTAGCTCGCTAAAGCATTTGTTGTTATACACGTCTATAACCTTATACGTATGTTTGATTCCCGCGTTTAATAGTAAACATAGCATTGGTCGTTATCGAGCTCTATAGAAGCGTAGAGTGCCTAAATGACTTCGAAGTCGCTAGGCGTGTCGGAGGTAGAGTATAAACTTTAAGCGTCGATTAGTAGAAGCATCGAAAGGGCACTACGACTTGTGTCGGAGCATATAATCCAGCCATCCTTATAAAAGAGTAGCGCTACGAGCAGTTAATGTCGATAACTGTCTTATGTAAGTATATGCATCTACGCTAAAATTTCACGCGAAGTAACATTCTCTACTTTTCGACGGAGAATCTCTCGGAAGCTAAAACAACATGTATAAAACAGACCTCGCACCCGCGGGATATATACTCTTTCTGTTGCTATATTGCCTTAGCCTACCGATATAGGGACTCGGCGCGAGAGACGTAATCTAGTAGGGGTAATACGTAGGAGTAGTAATCGGTAGCGTTTACGCTAAAAACGACAGGTTAATTAACAGCCTCTCTTTCCGTTTATACTTTTACTTAAAGGTGCCGAGTTAATTGGAGAATAGTAACGTACGTCGCACATTTCTATATACTTGCTAGGTAGAGACTTATAAGGTAGAAAGCGCTCTCGTAGCTCGCTATACTAGGTGGCTCGTAACGTTAGGATGGATATTAACTTAGCTGGTAAGTAGCTTCTACTACTTACACACAACAAAACAATAACAATACAATTATCTTATTAATGCATACTCTACTATGTTTATTACACGAACAACATTTATTCTATACGAGGGTACATGTATCTAGTTACTAAAAGATTTTCTAAATGTCGTGTATATAACGATTACTAAAAATTCTAGCATCTAATATAGGGAGAACGATCTAAAAGTAGGTAATAGTTTATTTTATAGCCTACTTATACTATAGTAATATATAAACGGAGGAGCTAGAAGCCCACAATAATATCCTTATACTACTAGAAAGTATTACAGACGGATCTAACTCTTATAATTAGTCTACCTGCCTTTTAAAAATACACTATAACTTACCCTCGGCAACGTCTATAGGATTCGAGTCGGCAGGTTCCCTCTAGTAGTTCCTTATATTCGGGGTCGATAACCTTCGCTTCTAGTATAGCTTAGAGGTAATGCGTCGTAGTAGTGTCGGTTATAATAATGAATTTCGTGTAGGTCATAGTGCTTAATAAGGCGAGAGTTATAGTAATTGTTAGAGTTGTAAAAACAGTATTAGTTAGAATAGTCGTTAAAGTAGTAGGTTTGTCTTTAACTTCGAATAAAGGCTACTAGTCCTAACTATACACGAAGCGACTATCGAAAGCGGCAAATACGATAAGGGCAAGTAAGCCGTTAAACTTTAGCATCTTCGTGGATATATAGCTGTAGTTAAGTAGATAGGAGTAGAGGTTGTAAACCCTTAAAGCATTAACACTTCTTTTATAAGACTTATAGAGGGTCGGTGCTACAATTTAGATATAAAAGTGCTCGTTTTAGATAAGTAACTTCCCTAGTACCGCAGATGTTACTACTAAGCGCTCCTTACTAGGATTTACTATGCTTAGTATTAATATATACTCTTCGAGAACCCTAACTAAAGCAGCGATTATGCCCTATTTATAAAATTATATAGAACCGCGGGAAGCAACTAAGAGAAGGAGACGCCGTAACTTCGCGTGCTATATGCTTCTCGAGGTACTTGGCCTTTAATTGTAGATGCTTCTAGTAATACTCGTCCTCGGTGTAACGTTCCTCGCCGTAGTAGGTGCCCTTCTCGCTATCGCGCGCTATATCTTAAGTCGACTGTATAGGAGTGCACTTCTCGAGGAAATGCTACTCGTAGCGTAGCATAGAATAAGCATAAGCTTATAGACCTTCGTATTATTAGCGTCTACGCGATCCTTATATGCCTTATTAGTTTCGCCTAAGCCTAGTACGCGGACTAGAGCAGCACGAAGCGTAGCTGTATTCATAAAGTGCGAAATCTCTTAACTAATAATATTTGTTTTTATAACATCTTCCTAGGTAATATAGTTATCCCTTCCCTTACGGCTAGCGAACGTATGTAATAAACGAGAGGGTTCGATAACCTAGATGCGCGCTATTAAATTGTAAGTCGCTCGAGGCGCACTTTCGTAGTAGAGGTAGCGCTATAGGTCGATAGGCTAATAGGGCGCTGTCGAACTAGTACCGCAATAAGCTTAAGGCATATATTCGCGATAGTTAACTATAGTAAGTACACATGCGTATATCGCACAAAACTCTTACGGCTGTTATAGAGGGTCTAATACACAGGTTAATAAAGAGACATATAACTTATATAAACTAGTGAAATTTAGTGTTTAAAGACGACTTGCTTATATAACTAGAGTAAAGAGCTATATATAAATAGAAGTCGAGACGACTAGATAGGCCACAGCAAAGCTACAATAATCTAGCCGTAACGTCTATAGGCATATACCGGCCGGAAATAATAGCTATAACCGTCCTGTCGACATAGCGGCTCGAAGCCGCCTACTAGAGAAGAATAGTTAACGGTTAGGGGTTTTTTTTTAGTTGGATAATAAAATGAACGATCGTAAACAGCGCGAGGGTGGTCTAATAGGGCGATAACTTATAGTAGAATCACCTCCAGACATCGTATATTAGTCCGCTTCGTATATATGTTTAGGGTGCGAGCCGTAATTAGATTTTGCGCACCCTATGTCTATAAAAGGTGGCCGTAGCAGTTGTATATAAACGCTTCGAATGTTCTCCTTTTACGATAGTAAAATTATAAAACTAAAGGTCCGAGATCTTTCTAGCGGGAACTTTCCGAATAGGAGCGAAACGGCCGTTCCGGTATATACGACGTCTCCCGTACGGAAGGCAGCTCTAGAATTTTTTAAGCTAGAGATTGCAGCATTTAAGCGGATATAAGCTTGCCTCCTAATTATCGAGAGTAAGAAGTCTTAAGAGCTAGAAGAGCTCTCTACGGCAGCTTAAATATAGTAAGCGACCTTAGACGGTAACAGCTCTCCGACAAAAAGCTTGCTTTCGAGCTAGTTAGCTATAGGCTCCTGGTTTTCGTTAACTTTATCGGAGGACGTAGTAGAATTAGTCGACTCTAGCATCTTAATAGACGATAGACGAGCATGCCCTAGAAAAAGTCTTTTATTACATAGGTTAAGTTAATATATTTGCTTGTCTACACGAAACGGGCGTTAAGAGCCCGTTTTAGTCGAAAAGCAGATATTACATTATAAATTCTAGTCGTAGCAGATCTGCCTTAATAAATACTACATATAACGATAAAGGCCTTGTTATAGTTATCTAAGCTGCCTTACTTAACTCGAAAGACGTTAGTTAAAATTGTTATAAAATTCTTTATAACGTTAGTGCCTGTCTTAGAGACAGTAACGCATTAATAATGTTAAATAAGTTCTCTGTTATCTATTCGACCCGTACGGATTTATCTTATTATAGCACAGACTTGCATTAAATTACTCTAGGGCCTTTACTTTCGTCGTTCCCAAATACCGAGAGTAGACTACTTATAGAATCCTCGATGTTTTTCTTCGAGACATATAAGTAGAACATAGGCGATATACTAACACGACCTACTAGTTCCTACGACGCGATTTTAGTGCATAGAGGACAGTAGAAAGCCCGATCGAGGTT